ATAATATGGATAGATGTCTCTGAGTTCTTAGTGAGAAGACCTTGATCCTGACTTTCTTAATGACCACTGCTTGCTTATGATTTTGTATCGAAAAGATACCTTAAGTGAAATACAGTAGGTTTTTGATCAGTGCTCTTGTAATTGTTTGGGCAGGCATCTCTATAAATAGTTTCTTAAAGCTGGTCTGAGAAAATTGGAAGAAGTCAGCTAAACTGAATCACAAAGAAAGAATAATAATTAAAGAAAATTAGAATATAAATATGAGCAGAAGATAGAAAGGTTTATATAGCATGATCCAACGAGGGAGGTGTATATAAAGGCATATATGTTGCAGGAAATAAAAGTTTAGTGTGATTGGAACTCAAAGTAGAACGTAGCAAAGTAACAGCCTTAAAATTGGGAGAAGACAGACAGTGGATTATTTCATAAGATGTTTTGGAATTTGAGATTTGACTTGTGCATTTCTCATCTTCTCAGTGATCAGTCTTAATCCTTTCTCAGGTCCAAGTCATAGCCTCACACAGTGTCATTATGTCAGGGTTTTTTTTTTTTTTGACTGACAAGCATATGAAAAGAAATACATGGAATGTGGGGGTAAAAAACAAAGTCCCAAGCCAGTAGCCCTGGGATTGATCTCTATTCTTCTAGTTCTCACTGGGTTGGTGTGAACAAATAATTCAACTTCTCTACTCTGCTATGCTAGACTATTAAGCACTCTGACTTGTAGTTCATATCAAACATACATATTTGTGTATGCTTGTGCTTGTGTGCATGTTCCTGTGTGAACAGGTGCATGTATGGAGGCCAGAGAACAGCATCAGAAATTATTTCTCAAAAAATGTCCACCTTCTTCTTTACTTTTCTTTTCAGACAGGATCTTTCACTGGCCTGGAGCTTGCTAGTATGCTAGACTAACTGGCTAGACACTGAGCCCCAGGGTTCTGCCAGTCACTGATACTCAGTGGAAATATTGCAAGCACATGCCATTGTGGCAGGCTTTTTACTTGAATTCTGGCAACTTGAAACTTAGTCATTATTGACTGAACCATCTTCCAAATCCCAGCACATATATATTTTAGTATCCTGCCACATCTTAGCCTCCAAGTTTACCTTTCCATGTGCAGTATCTATCTGAGATCCAGCTAAGTTATGAGTAGATATTGTTTCTCATTTAAAATGAGGAAACTAAGCCTCATAAAAGTGAAGAGCTATGATCAATTTTAAATACCCAAAAGTAGAAGAGCTGGGATTTAAGAGCACATCTACAGGACTTTCTGTCGAGTGGTCTTTTCTTCAAACATAGCTGCTTTAAAGAGATGCAAAACCCTGCACAAAACTCAAGTCCAAATGATTCAAAGACCTCAACATAAGTCCAGTTACACTGAACCTGATAGAAGAGAAAGTGGGAAATAACCTTGAACACACTGGCACAGGAGACAACTTCCTGAATAGAACACCAACAGCATAGACACTAAGATCAATAATTAATAAATGGGACCTAGTGAAACTGGAAAACTTCTGTAAGGCAAAGGACACCTTCAATACAGCACAAACTGGTGGCCTACAGAATGAGAAAGGATATTCACCAACCCCTCATTTGAAGGGCTGATTCCAAAATATATAAAGAACTCAGAAAACTGGACATCAAAAAAAAAAACCCAAATAATTCAATTAAAAATGGAGTACATATCCAAACAGAGAAGTCTCAACAGAAGAATCTAAAATAACTGAGAAATGCTTAAAGAAATGTTCAACATCCTTAGCCATCAGGGAAATGCAAATCAAAATGACTCTGTGATTACATCTTACACCTGTCAGAATGGTTAAGATCAAAACCACAAATAGCTCATGTTGGTGAGGATGTGGAGCAAGCAGAACACTCCTCCATTGCTGGTGGGGGTGCAAACTTGTACAGCCACTTTGGAAATAAGTATGACAGTTTCTCAGAAAATTGGGAGTCAGTCTACCTCAAGTCCCAGCTATACCATTCTTGGGCATATACAGAAAGGATGCTCTATCATAACACAAGGACACTTGCTTAACTATGTTCATAGCAGCTTTCCTCATTCATAATAACCAGAACCTGGAAACAACCTAGATGCTCCTCAACTGAAGACTGGATAAAGAAAAGGGGGTAAATTTACACAATGGAGTATATTATACAATTGTTAAAAACAATGACATCATGAAATTTGCAGGCAAATGGATGGAACTAGAAAAAAATCATCCTGAGTGAGGTAACCCAGACCCAGAAATACAAGCACGGTATGTATCACTTACAAGTGGATATTAGCTGTAAAGTAAATGCTAATCCTGCTACAATATACAGACACAGACAGGCTAGGTAACAAGGAGGGCCGAATTTATTTATTTATTTATTTATTTATTTATTTATTTATTTATTTATTTATTTATTTATTTATTTTACATCCCGATAGTTATCCTTGGAAAGGAGAAATAGAAGATCCATAGTTATCCTTGGGAAGGAGAAATAGAAGAGATCTCCTGGGTGAACTAGGCATGGGTGGGGATGGGATCATGAGGGAGCAGATTGGGGGTGAATAAAAGGGGAGAATATTGAAAGAGATAATGGGAAGGGGGAGGCATTTGAGATCGGATAGAAACTTGGTGCAAGGGAACCTTCCACGAATCTATAAGGATGACCCCAGCTAAGACTGCTAGGAACAGTGGATAGTAACCTGAACTGTCCATCTCCTGTGACCAAGCAAGACTTCCTGTAAAGGGATTTTAGCACCAATCAGCCACACAACCTTTTATCTACAGTCTGTCCTGCCTATGCGATGTACTGGGATTGGTTGCCACCCCCGATTATCATCAGAGAACGTTCATCCAGTAACTGATGGAAACAGATGGAGAGACCCACAGCTAAGCATTGTGCCGAGCTCAGGGAATCCTGCTGAAGGGAGGGAGGAAGGATTGTAGGAGCCAGAGGAGTCAAGTACATCACAAGAAAACCCACTGAAAAAAACTAACCTGGGCTCATAGGACCTCACTGAGTTTGAACTGACAACCAGGGAGCCTGTCAGAGACCAACCTAGGTCCTTTACACATATGTGACCGTTGTATAGCTTGGTCTACTTGTGGAACTCCTTACAGTAAGAGCAGGGGCTGTCCCTAATGCTTTGGAGGGCTTTAGGAACCAATTCTTCATACTGGGTTGTCTTCCCCAATCTTAATAAAAGGGGAGGTCCTTAGTCTGACTGCAACTTGGTATGCCATGCTCTGTTGATACATGGGAGTCCTGCCTCTTTCTGAATAGAAACAGAGGAGGAGTGGATTGCTGGGGGATGGAGGTGGGGAGTGGAGGGGCCGGGGGTGGGGAGGCAAAAGAGAGGTGGGGGAGGCGTGGGAGGGGAGGAGAGAGGGAAACTATGGTCGAGATGTAAAATACATAAATAAATAAATTTAACTTAAAAAAGAAGAAGCAAAAAGAGTATTTTTCAAAATCAGTATTATAGCTGAAAATGTTACACACATAGTAGTTGGGACCCTCTTTGTCTGTGAAACTAGTATCCGCCAGACTCTTATTTTTATTTCAGAAGAATTTTGTCCCAAGTGGTCTGGGGTATTTTGAGCTCTTTTCTTGTTATAGACAAAAATGCTTCTGCACACTCTGGGGCTCTATCTGGGCTACCCTCTCCCATCAGTCCCTCCAAGTACCTCCCTCACTACTTATCCAAATGTATCCTTTCCTCTTGTTCTTTTCCTGTAAGGTCTTTTCAAAAGTCTGATCACAGATAAACTGATGTATCTTAAATTATAAGGAGCTTTATTAACTTATTTTGTTGCCTGGCACTATATTTCCTTTTAATCATAGATTCCTTGAGGATTCATCCAGACCTTCTCAAAGCCATTTTTTTTTATGTTAGTATAAAGTGATGTTCCATCCAGGAGTTATGGAGAGCCTTTACATGGGCTAGCATAAGCAAGGACTGAGCAGGACTACAAATTAAAACAAAACAAAAAACCCACAATCTTAAAAAAATTAACTCTTGTTTGACTACCAGGTTTTTTTTTGTGTGTGTGGGGGTCACTTGTTAATATGTAATAAAATTACCACTCTACAAAACTACGCTTTGGCAAGTAATGACTAGTGAAATACAGCTTTTGTGGAAGGTTGGTATTATACCACCTGAGGAGTGATTTCTGTGAGAATAGCCCTGCGGGTACACTGTTCAAACAACATGTTGGCAGCGTTCTCTGGGGTAGATCCAAGCTTGGTTGGACTCGAAGATTATACAGTTGGTAGAGAATCTCTAAGAAAAATAAAATAAAACCATGAATTAAACTGTGGTGTTAAAAGGAGTCTGTGTGACTGAAGAGCCCTCTAGCTTCAAATTTGTTTCTGTTATTTCATCTTCCAAAAGACAAACCTTTTACAACCAGTGTAAGCAGCTTTGGATGAGTAGGTCTGATGAACCAGAAACAGACACTGCTATCTTGTCTGTAGCCATCATTTTCTTTCCTATGTGTTAGGCTTTGTGACTTTGAATCATTCACTCTGTTTTTCCTTGTCTACGGTTTTATTTTTTGAAGTGAAATAATGACTAACTTAAGGATGGTGGATAATCATTTGAAAAGAATAATCATCTTGAAAAGATAATTAATAAGAAAAATTTAAATATGGCCATTTAGCAGCATGCAAATAGAGGTTATGATTCTTGTGAAAATGCTTATTAATTCTAAGAGCTACACATATGTTACCAATCATTAATACTATTGCTGTTCAAATAAAAAAGCTTTACACTTAAGTAAGAAAAGTTTTTTTTTAAGTCATAATAAGGAAAGGGAGACTATTACAGTATTCAAATATTTTGGTTTTATGATCTGCAAGCTTCATATATATATATATATATATATATATATATATATATATATATATATATATGAAAGGTTTTTTTAATAGATAGACAAAGAATGCTATAAAGAACCAGTATGAGCATATGGGGCTGATATCCCTTTTCTTCTCATCCTTATAGTTGGCTAATTCTCAGGAGGAATCGTTGGTTCTTTGGAAGCACTAAGAAGAGGGCGGTGTTCCCAAATTCAGGTTGTGTATGTTGTAGGAGTGGGAATCCAGACTGGAGGGAGCAAGAAATTGTAAATTTCTAAAATGTCAAGTGAGTTGTACAGATTGGTGAATGAGAAGACACCCTTAAACTAACCATTCCTGAGACAGGAGTGGATCTGCATCTACCCTTGTCATAGAGAACCAAGAATTTCACCCATTGCACATGTCAGTCATACAGAGAAGGGTGGTACTTTGTAGCAGACTACTTTTAGAATATACTAATATGGGGAGGTGTCTTTGTTGTTTTCTCAGATCATGTGTTTCAGTTAAATTTTTGTTTATTAAGAAATATTTTTTGTTGAATTTTACATACCAATCAAAGATCCCCTTCTTCTCTCCTCCCACCCCTCTAGGCTCCCAGTCCCAACCCAACCCCCATTCCCTCCTACAAGAAGGTAAGGCCTCCCATGGGGAGGTACATTTAGTGGAGGCAAGTCCAAGCCCCTCCTCTTGCCTCAAGGCTGTGCGAGGTGTCCCATAATAGGCAGTGGGCTACAAAAAGCCTGCTCATGTACCAGCAATGGATTCTGTTTCAATTATATTTGATGTCAAATATTTTCATTGTCCTTGAATTTATTAGGTTTGGTTAATTCCTGAAAACTCTATGAGTAGTGTGTGTGTGTGTGTGTGTGTGTGTGTGTGTGTGTGTGTGTGTGTGTGTGTGTGGACAAGATGCCAAAGGTCAAATTCAAGTGTATTTCTCTACCACTCATCATCTTATTTGGGGACAATATCTCCCAATGAACTTGGAACTCACCATTCAGCTGTAGTGGTTGGTCTGGGAGCCACCAGGATCCTCCTGTCTCCCGGCACCTAGCACTGGTTATGCTGTGCCTATCTTTTATGTTGGTGCTGGTGAGCTGAACTCAAATTCTATCCTTGTACTGTAAGTACTGTAACCTCTGAGCTTTGTCATGGCCATTCACTTGATGTAGCAATAAACTGGCAGGGACAAGCATCCAGATATAAATAGTTTGTACTCACTAAAGTCTTAAGATGTGTGTTTAGTATTTCTCCCCAGCAAGAGTGGCGGCCAGAGCTGACAAACACAAACCTGACTCCTCTAGTGATATGTGACTCTACACTGCCTCTGACCATGTGCATAGAACATGGGATAATTGAGAGCATACATAATAGAGCCCTATTTCATCCTAAGAACAGAGAAGAAAAACAGAAAAAAAGATCTCTCTGTGACATATGAATGTTAATAATTGATTTTATTTTATAATGGAGACAATGAGCCTGTGTTCCTGTAGTTTTCTTTGAAAAGGTCCAAGAAAAAAGATAAAGAGAAAAATGTTCATTAAGCCCACATTTCACGTTGGCTGTCAGCGGTGTTTCTTTTAGAAAAAAAAAAGTTCTGTTGTAGATTTGTCCCTTTTGGAGAGATATAGGAATTGCAAAGAGAGTGCCAGACAGTGCTAGCATATGCTTGTTTTTCTAACTCAGTGTGGGCAGCCTTTCTTAAACATTTTGTATAAATATATTTATTCTCCCACTGAGACCTTGCCTGCCAGGTTCAGGAACAACTGAGTAAGCAGATGAGTTACAGACCCAGGAAAGAAGAGGAGGTATAACACTGGAAATGTTGCTGGCTCCTTTATTTCAGTTGAGTGCATTGCCCCAGTATAATAAATTAGTGTTGCTGAATTAGTGATAAATCTATTTCGGTTTTTATATTCAAAGTAAATGATATCCTTTCTGTTGATATATTCATAAAGCAAGAAAATGTTGACATCCGGTGGGCAAGATTAAAACACACACACACATACCCGTGTGCTTGAGCACACACACACACACACACACACACACACACACACACACACACACACACGGCACACAAACACCCTTTGGTGCTCCATCTACATTTGCAAGCTGTCTGCATTTCTCATATTGGCCTCAGCTTTGACAAATGCAAAAAAGTCACTAATATTTTGACACTCTCCCTGCCCAAGTCTGATACCAGCTGGCTAGGAAGCCTCATGTTCATTGTTCTGCTGGATTTTAAAGACTGGGTCCCAGCCAAAGGACTGGACCGGATCCATTCATTCATTTTCAAGATTGAAGTTGCAGCTTAACTGTAATGACCATTTCTCAACTCAGTCTGGAAACCTCTTCCAAATTCAACAGATGCCTGAGAGGGAAATGTGCATTTGGAATGGGAAATGGCTCTGCCTGAGAAAGGAACAAAAGGTGATTTTTGAAGCTGAAAACAATTAATATTATGAACACTGGTTATGTCTTTGAAAAAAAATTAAAATTCTTATAGTGTTTAGAACAGTTGGCACATGCTTATTTTAGCACTTTAAGTGAAAAAGAAAGTTTAAATTGCAGATGTAACTATCACAGAAAACACACCCTCCTTCATATTTGCTCTTAAAGAGGAAAACACACAAAATGTCAGAAGGAAAAGCCTTTAAGATCATGGTGAGTCATTCTGTTCTACCTTTGCATACTTTTTTTCCTATATCAAATTTTGTATCAATAGTTGGGGGGCACAGGGGGAGAAAAGGAAAGGAAATCACTGTGCTTTCAGCTCTGGTGACCATATTGTTCTGGTAACTGTAATCAACAACTGTTCAAATACACTGCAGACGTGAAAACCAAAACCACGCAATAATCTACAGAAATATCTTTGCTTTCTCCATCTAAAAAATGTTCCCCTGCTGTGTGTTCCTGCTGTCCCATTTTTCCGGTTACTTAATAATTAACCCTGATTATTTACAAATTTCCCATTTCAGTCTATTCTCAGGTACATATGCTCAAAAAAACTACCCCACAGGGCTGGAGCAGTATGGCTTGATCCTGCAATCATGTGTAGGGATTTTTTCAAGGCATGAGGGGATGCATATGTTTTCAAGTATCAATGTGTCAGCGTTCCAAGAAAGCATCATGATTAATATTTTGATATAAGCACAATTTAGTGTTCCTACTAAAGTATGCAACTATGAGAAGGATTTGTTTATACTGTCATGTGGGATGTTCAGACAACTTTTAAAGACATATAAGATATAATTCAATATGTCCACTTTTTATTTGGGAAACTGATCCAGGGATTAAAATTTAAAGTTGCATTGAGTTGATTCCATCTATGCTGGAATTTTTATACACAAGTTTTGGGTGTTAGCTCTCTGAGTGACCTGCCTTCTGATTTCAGTGTCTCCATCTACAAACTAGTGATTCTAACCAATGACTGTGTATTATGTCCCAGTTTCCTTACCAGTAAAAGGAATGGGAATGATAGAATCAAAGACCAAGAACCATTCGAGGATTAAAAGAGTTAATGACCCTCTGCTGCTAGGGCCTGTCTTCCAAATAAAAACCCCTAAGGAGTGAGGTGTCCCTGGAATCCTGTCCTTATTCTGCCTGTAAATATTGACTGTTCTCTACAGCCTGTAGTCACATTCAACTCTCGGGCTTGCACAGCACTGATTAACAAATGGATTGCCAGCAGTCATTTGTGATTGCCTACCATGGAAGTGTGACTCTCCTCATCCTCTACCAAACTGCCCCATGCACTATTCATGAGTGGTACAATATTCCAAACACAATTTCCACTGATTAATTCTCACTAATTATTCACAATACAAACCTTCACAGGAGAATTCCACTGAATGCTCTTCCATCCTGAGGCAGGGAATGCAATGTCGAATCATTTTCTGATTTCAAGTGGAAAACAAACTAATTATGTGGAAATATGATAATAGATTGTGCTGTAGGGACTAGTCCTCCACAGGCTTCAAAATGTTTGCTTATGATGGGCTCTTGATGTTATTTCTTCCAGGAGGAACTGCCCTTTCATAATGCATCAACATTATTGACTGGACTGTGATTCCTTACTCGGAGTTAAGGTGATTTGCATAATTGTATATTACTTCCGTCTGGTGGAATCAAACAAGATGTTCGGGTGCTAATGATCAAGCAGGCAGCAGTGACTGCTGGGAAAAATTGTCTTAGCAAAATCCCCAAACAATGAAGAACAGCTTCTCTTGTTGGCATATTTTACCATCTTCTTTTGACCTAGCTTTATTCTGCTTGGCCACAGGCTTTGTTTTTGAATCTGTCTGTCTGTCTCAGCCTGGGAGGTGGCAAATCAGCAAGGGCAGAAAGCTACAGATAGCTGTAAACTTTCCTAATTCTGTGTGTTGACACAGAGCATTTTTTTTCTGCTTCCTGGATGTCATTGTCTTTCTGACAGAATGTGTTAAGTCCTTTAAGGCCCAGTACAAATGTTTCTCTCCTTTTTTTTTTTTCATTCCCTCAATGTTTCAAAAATTACCATTGCTCATCCTCAAAAATGAAAAATCAAAGAATATCAATCATCACAGTAGGAGCTCACAGAAAGTGCAGAGTCCATGTATGTACATTTTGGCCTTTGCATTTTCCAGCTCTATCTTAGACACACTCAGTAGAGAAGAGCAGACACATAGACAAAAATAAACCCTCATTTCCTTCAATTCTCCAATATTTTCCCTGCCTGTGCTACTTCACACCTGCTTAGCAGTTAGTCATGCTGCCTGTCTTAAAGGTAGACAAAGTTGCATTTCTTTCTCTGTATCTCATCTCCATAACCCCATGACCAGGAAGACAGAGGAACTGCTACACAAATACCTGCTGAGTAAATATGGCATTTCAGGAAAGTGGCTCATGAAGAACAATGCCATACATAGGGGATGTATATCGAAGCCCTGCCGAGTCTTAAGGATTTTCAGTGGCTCCATGAAAGGCTGTGAAAAGGATTTGGAGACTGCATCTGCTTACTGGGAAAGTTGTCTGTGATAGGTTAGTCATGTCTGAAATGAACATATTAATGGGAAATAGCAAATCAAATATTTTGAATTTGTATTCTTGTTATGGAGACTTAACCTCGGGCATTTTAAAGACATTCAGTGGCTACTCACATGTGTTTATTGGGTAGAGCTGATAAGTGTACTGGCTTTCCTCCAAGTGAATAAAGCCCTGAATTTATAAGGTCTACTCAGAGCACTATAATACCATGTTTGTAAACATTGGATATGAAATGTTTTAATTTATTCTTCATGGAAGTTATCTGACCTGCCATTCTTGATATTATAGTATTTAATTTATCAAAGCAACTTTGTTTGTACAATATTTTTAATCCAACTTTATAGGTGTATAAAATGAACCTACAAAATTTGACTAGGATGAAAGGGCTCTGAATGGCAAATCCTAAATTCAAGTGGAATTATTTCAGACTCCAAAGTTTATGCTTTTTCCATTGTTATATGAAGTCTTATTTAATTTGACTGTAAAATATA